TTTGTTGTTTCCAGGACAAAAACCAGTTTTTCAAATAATTAACCCAAAATAATGGTAATTAAATTAGCTTTTTTGCTGTTGTAAGTAATATTTCACACTGTTAAGTATTTCTTTCTGGACATTTTCACTAAAATGTGATTCCAACTATTTCTAGGGTAAAACCGTTTAGTTAACCCAGGCGATTTTATTCAACATGTATTCTTTATTAAGTGTCGACTACTGTTGATGTTCAGAATGTTTATTGAAATAAGCATTTGAAGGTCAACAGTAGTCGACACTTTATTTTTAATATATTGGTTATTAAGCGATATCAGGCGTCTTGGCTAACTATGATAATAATGACAACGATGATATAAAGTTAAGGTGTTTCCTCTTTGTTATGCTAATCCATAGCTAAAACTTTGGAATTTGTTGCTTAAACGGCCCATCTTTTCCTTCAACTCAATAATTTTAAACGATGTTTTTTCGGCTGAAGTTCTGCAGGGATTGAATTACTCATGCCAGATGCTTTTAGTTGCTAAAAAAATTCTAAACAGGCTGACCTGACCATTATTTCATAAATTGCATTCATATTTTGCGAGAGCGACGCGAATATCTGTCTTTAGAAAGAGTTAACGCGGTTTGAGTTTTTTCGCATAAAATTGCATGAAAATTGCTCTTTCCTTTTCACCTGTCTGAACTTTTCTCGTGAGTTTATACACGGTGCTTGCTGGCAGTAAATTTTTTAAAGTGCAGCACTAATCAGCCATGTCATAATCAGCTGTATTGTGCTTCCAAAGGATAAAAAATATTTTAAGAGACTCCTTTTCTAACCAATTTTTGCCTGCAAGAGAACGACGGAGTATTCATTTAACCAACGTATAATTCTTTGGCGCAAAATATTAATTAAGTTTTGTAATGGTAAAGACTATAATCTTTGTGCGTGTGCGCGTACAATTTTCCGCTTTTCTCTGCCTTTCTCTTCAAGTCTGGAACTTCCGTCAGAAGATGAAATTTGAACGCATGTCACTGAGACCAATAAACAAACAAAGTTTCAGTATCAAGAGATTAAATTTGGTGTTAGAAACATAAAGGAAGACATATTTCTTGAAATAAGTTAAGTTAGGACTACTTTTCAAAGGGATTTCAACCGATTTTCCCGGCATGTGACAGTCAGTTCATGCGAGTAACGGACCTTTTAAAAGACTGATCAAAGCAGTTTACCTAGTATTTTTTGCTTCTTGATTTGCGACAAATTTGGCTCGATGCTTTCACTTTCAATTTCAATGCTTACAAAATGGCATCTAATTCGGCATTAGGCTCAAATTGTTTCTGGTTCCCTTTGAATTGAACCGTAGCTGTACAACTTCTTTATCTAGCTTACTCCTTTGTTCGATTTGCTTTTCTTTTATCTTCTAATTTTTTCTCAAGAAAATCCTTAAACATGGAAAAGACTTGATCAACGGCTGCTGAGTTGCCTCCACTATCACCTGAAGACGTTTGGCCTACTTCAGCCGGAACGGACGAACCTTCGCTCTGTTTTTGGTCGTTGGGCATCACACGAATAGCAGAACACAAACCATAAAGATGAATAAACTGTATGGAACCGCGAGCGTTAATGGTACTCAAGAGACAGCGGAGAGTATAAGTACTAATAACTGGCCAATCAGGACATCCATGTAAAACAGAATGCACAATAGTGGGTACGGCAGGTGTGAAACGAAAACAACTGCGACTAATTACTTGGAATAACAGCGGAAAATACATTTCCTTTCAGCTGCGAAATTAGACAGTGTGCATTTAGGGAAGTCTAGTGCAAACTTTATTTGAGAGTGACCGCCTATTAGATCATTTACGCTATCTTTGCTTTTGACAGAACACGTCACTGACAACGTACAAGTCAATCGAGCTCAAATTTATTAATAAATTTAGCATGCTATTATTAACAGTTACTATATATTAGGGTTCCTTGCAAATTCTACCTGAGAAAACTTCCCTTTTATCGCTCTGTTACACACACACACCTTGTTGATGAAAACGGCGCTATGAGATTACAGAGGAGGCCGGATAAAATGATTTGCTCAGTCATATTCTGCTTAATCTTTGGAGCAGGTTTGGCGGCCGAAGAAGAATCTAGATCCTCCTACATAGTAGCCCAAGAGAACAAGCGTTTACATGGCTATGCTGTAAAGAGAATCGATTCTACCGATGAAATGTCATGCAGTCAAGCTTGTTTAAGGCATTCTTGATGTACTTCTTCTAACTTCAAAGAGTCCTCAGGGAATTGTGAACTGAACAAGCACGAGTTCTCAATAACTGCAGATGATGACGCCAAGCTCACCGATAATACCGGCACAACGTTTTCAACGTTTCTTAAGGTAAGTCGAAGAGAGGTTTGTCAACAACGCACGCGATGTAAGAACTGCGTTCAAATAAATTTTAACTAATACACATCTGTTCTGTTGGAAAAACAGTAAATTTGAGTTTTATTAGGATGCATTTATCAAAAATGGCATCCAAAGCGGGGATATGTCTTGTATTGGAGCCAGTCATGTTCACTGCCTTTTGCTACCAGTTTCAATCCGGGACAATTTTTTGATGTTATTGACGGCTATGTATTCTTGCCTTCAATTGGTTTACTTGTTTTCAAATTACAGCTAAGAAAAATGTGCAGTGCAATTCAAAAATTCAAGGACAGTCCGTCGAGCTTGTGATTTATGGAAATTGTATTTTGGTTTCTAAGTTCAAAGTATATATTGTACAGATATGATTTGCACTACGCCTTAAAAGTATCTTGAGAAATCAGTACGCTCTGCAAGGATCACATGAATTCGAACATTTTTGCCCTAAAACAATTTTGCTAGACGTGTAAAAAGCTGCAGGAAGTCGATGGAAAACAACTTTTGCTTACCCAAGTAAAATGTGATTTTCTGCAGGGTTGTCTGATGGCTGGATGCCTCAACGGAGGTTCTTGTTTGTTCGACAAAGAAAAAGACGCTTTCGCTTGCTCATACAATCTGCAATGCAGTGGAGAAACATGTGAACTAGGTAAATTCTCACTTTATTATATCTTACCTTATAATAAATATAGAATAGTGAAAGAGGTGTACTCTCTGCTAGCACCTGGTATCTCGAATACCAGGGAAAAATTCTAGGCCTCTGCTAACAGGGAAAGATGTGTACTGTTTGAAGCAAAATCACATATTTGTCTATCTGGCAAATGTTTCAGTGGTACAACTGAGAAAGTTAAACTGTTGACAGATTGCCAGTTTAATGAACCTTCCACTCTGTGAAACTGGTATGTAGCTTTTGGCGTTTACTTTTATTAATTTCTTAGCCTCAAATGTGGATCGGCCTGGAATCAGGTTCCTTAGTAGGAAGCAAAAAAGCGAATAATGGTGTGAACAGCCTCCTATTCGCCCCTTTTCTCATCTAAGAAGCCTGATCTAGGCTAAGTCTGGAACTTCAATGTTTTTCTTGTGATTTTTCGTTTTCTTTCTCATGAAGTATAGGCTCCTGAATGGTACATATGTCCAATGCATGGTTGTGGCCATTTTTAATTTTGGGTTCGCCATGTTCCGGCCATTAGGCTCTACAGCAAAAGACAATACCGTTAAGTCACTCAGTGCCAAAAGTACAATTTACTTGGCCATTATTCCATGACGGTTAAAAGGCGGTATTTCTATATATAGACAAGAGCCATAATGGGTCTTGATATAGAATATGGACACACATATAACTGAAGACAGTCGTAGGTCTTCTTTTCAAACAGAAAATGGTTGGGAAAGTATTTTTAATATTAAAGGTATCTTTTTAAAAGAATCCTGCTGAAAGTTGAAATAAGAATAAATTTGTGATCATAAGAGAGAAACCAATTCCCGTCGCTATGAGCTGGTCTTTATTTTGATTAAGGAGACTACTTTTTTCTTCTCATCTGTTCTTGTAACATCGTTTATCGGTCTTGTAGAGAATAATACCAATTTAAGCACTGAAGCACACGTACCAACTCCGAGATTTTCCGCGGTATGGCCATTACCTTACACATGCGCAGAACCATACCCTGGCAGTGGCAGCCGCATGGACGGCTGTTTCGCCCTAATTGGGTGCCGGGATATACGCCGATTATTATGCTCGGCTAGACCAAAAGCGTGTTAAGGGAAGTCACTAGATTGTGTAGTTTGGGTCAGTTCTGTATGGTAGTAATTCGGTTCAATCGGTTACTTTAATGTGAATAATTAGACTGTACAGGTCTCTAATAGGCTTGTTTTCTTCAAGCTTTATATGACAACTCTGGCCTATTAATTACCCCCTTGTTTATTTTGTTTTGCAGTTTCATCGTGTAAGGATCTTTTTGACAAGAAAATGTGAGTAAAAATTACAAAGTTTACTTTTTAGGATCTTAAAATAACGAAATATGTCGGTGCAGTTGAATGCGCCCGAACTGTGCTTGTTTTGCCCGTCTGAGTGAGATCCAAATATAAGATAGTAAAGTGATTTATCAGCTGTCAT